CTACACACACACACACACACACACACACACACACACACACACACACACACACACATATATATATATATATATATATATATATATGTGTGTGTGTGATGTTCCCAAAGTATAGGAAATCCTCGACTATCTATGTTTATAGCGTGTGCCTGGGACAGCTTCGCTGATGTTTGCACAAGGATACTTTCTCGCACGACTGACGTGTGCCCGGTTTGTTACATCTCCACCGACACATGGAACTTCTTGCCCAGCGGGTGTCTCAATCCACTTATTGTACACCGAGACACAAGCACTCTCTCACAATGAACCTCCATAACTTACTTGTACGCACAGCGTAGCATCCATACACTTACGCTCTCACAAGATACAAGTTACCCCACCCGAGCATTTCACACATGTTAACACAAGAACACACACTGCTCTCTCTTCTAACCTCTGTTCAGCTTTGCGTCGGCCGGTTTAGACGGCGCAGCTTATCTGTGGGATCTATCGACAATCTCCTCGTCGTCTCAGGCATTGCGCGTGATACCATCTCAGCAGGATGCGAGCATATACGCACTAGGCATGGACGCCTCTGGACACCGTTTAGCCACAGGCGGCACAGACAGAGTGGTGCGGGTGTGGGACACGCGCACGCAGCAACGGCCTGTATCACTCAAAGGTCAGTCGTGGAAGCGTACTGTATTGCGGTGTGTATGTAGTCCGAGTGTGTGTGTATGTATGTGTGTGTGCGTATAGAAACATGATGTGAGTGTATATAAAGTGAGCATGTATATGTGTGGGCACTGTATTGCTGCCGGTGGCACAGACAGAGTGGTGCGTGTGGGTTTTACGAACGCACTGTCTCTTAGAGGTTATAGTGATATATAATATAAAGTCAATAATAATATAACAATATAATAATATAATAATATAAGTAGTGAGTCGTTGCGATATAGTATGTGTATCACATAAGTACGTATATGTGCTTAGGGGCGATAGGAGTTTAGTTCGTATACACTGGCCATGGATGAATGTACATCGAATGAATTTGGCCAGGAGCACTTTATATACCTACGCCCAGTGCGCTCCGAAGCCTTCACCGCTACACAGTTTCACTCACCAAACCCTACACACCACGCGTGCGCATTGTCTTAACTAGCCTCAACCACAAAACAACACAGCACAACACACCAACTACCAAACACAGGCACCAAGCTCACTCCAACACACCCAACCCAACACAACAACACCTTCACACAGGACACGGAGACAATGTCAAAGTTATTCGTTTCATGGACAACATGGTGTTGAGCGGAGCGTCTGACGGGTCAGTTGTTCTGTGGGACATGCGGCAGCACCGCATACTACACACGTACTACATACACAGCGAAGGCATCTGGTGCCTCTCCATTGCACAGGGCAAGGACCGCATGTGGACTAGTGGAAGGGACGGGAACGTCGTGGAGACTACGTATGTGTGAACTCCAGGATATATATATATATATATATATATGTACTATATATAGTATATATA